AAAAGCAGAATTCAGGGTCAAAAAATTTCTCCATCCTCTTTTTTTCCATCGTCGCATCAAATTTTGGAGCCCTGTAAAATATACCCAATATTCATCACTGTAAAATTTCTTGCCGGAGAATTGAATTTTATCTCTCTCAAGGTGACCGTCTCTATGCCCTCACAAAAATTATCAACAAATCCTCACAATCCAAAAGATGAGCTTCGCCCGTGATGCGGTTGCCGAAGCATCAAAGAGGCAGTGGGGGTTCAGGAGGCAATTCGGTGAAACAAGAAAGGGGTCATGGAGGATTTGTCATGGAGCCAATTATTTCAGCGGCTTCGGAGTATTGGCAGGACAAATAATATTCTAAGTAATCGCAAAGCATACGCCCTGGACATCCAAAATTCTAAGATTCGCCCGGAGTTGTGGGATAGCAATCTTGGGACGGTGACGAATCCGGATCGGTGGGTATAGGCAATTCGAGGAGATGCCCAATTTTCAGGATTTTTTTTTTCTTCTGAAGTTGATTTTTTGACTCTTGTAAATTCCTTTTCACCAGATTTTCTGAGAACTGTCTTGTACAATTTTTATGCTCATTTCAGTTTTCTTATGCCATTTTTATGCGCATTTCAGTTTTTTAGAGCCAATTTGTATTGCCTAATGATAGAATAGAAACACCATTGCATTGACATCCATCAAGATCAATATGTACAGTAATATTGTTTTGGCTTTTCCACATTACCTACAGCAACTATGGTAGCATATCATTATGTCTGTTTTTCTTATATGTTATCATTATAAAGGAGTAGGTTTTCAATTTGCATAGGACATATCATGGCTCAAGTATTGTTGTCATTTTGATTAGGATTAGATGTTTACACAATATATTGGTTCTAGGGTCTACAGTGGTCTTCAATTTTGTTCGGATCAGTCTGCTTTGTTTGATGCTTATGAGTTTATCATTACAACGGACAAATTTTCTTTGGATTTATTAGTGTTTAGCCTTATTTGTCTGTGTAAATTTATGAGTATTTTGGGTTTGCAGCCACTTCCCTTCAGAGCTAGGTGCCATTTAAATTTTTGGTAAGTTCAACAAGGTGCTTGAGTCTAAAGGTTAATGCATGTCTTGCGCTAGGTGCTGATGCCATAGTTCACCGCTTGGCAGCTTGATGTTTTCTGCAAGCTCTAAATCACTATGGAGCATCCACAATTCTATATTCTTGATGGTATGTTTAAAGTGTACCGGAGTTTAATCAAGTATTTGTGCTCTTTCAGTATAAGAAAGTGTCATGGTGGGATCAATCACTGTTACAGTCTGTGCTACCAACTAAAAAGCCAAACTACTGCTGCAGCAACAATGCAATTATGTGAGGCCTTCGAAATTTTGATAGCAACTTCAACATTGAGGATAGCGCCTTGTATATGTTGTCCACAATGCAGTTAACTGAGCAGCTTCTTTGTTATGTTGCTCATGTGAGGCCTTCGAAATTTTGACAATAACACTTGTGTAAGCTAGTTTATGGGACTTTAATGTAACACTTAGGGAAATGGAACTTGTATTCTATGTTTCAGAATCTGTACATTCAAAAAAGTATGGTGATATTGATGCTAAGAAAGTGGTGTTCTTGCTGTCTCCTATCAAAGTAAATTGTTTGTGCCCTTTGTGTTATTTATTTTTTCTTCAATGTAAGAAAACATTCTATTACAAGGGAGAGTATCAAACCAACAGGTATGATGCTAAAAAAGAAGCCCTTTTTGCACTAGATCAATTTTACTTCTTCAAATGAAGTATTGTGTGTCATAAAACATCACTAGCGAGTAGAAAGAAAATACCATCCTTTATTAGCTATCGATAAGTAAAGTGAGATTAAAAAGACGCATGAGTACAAATTTGATAACAAATTCGACTACATAATTATTTTTGTAAGAAGTATGATTACTTCCATTGCGAAGATGAACCTTGAAATGACATTGCTTGTGATAATAAATCTTGGAAAGAAAATTGCCTCTTGCTGCTCTCCCGACTATATAAAAAAAAAAAAGAATGAAGATGTATTAGGCCGAAAGCAAATTCAATTTCACAGCTCTTTTATCACAAAAAAAAAATAATAAATAAGAGAATGTGCTTAAAGATTAACCTGTGACGCATTTGGAAATCTTACAGCTTGCACGCTTGAACCATGATTCAGCCCCAAGACCCTTGAATAACCCTATTACAACAGATTATATAAATCATTGAAAAAGATGTGTGTGTGTGTGTGTGTGTGCATAAATATACTATCAAGAAACAATACGAATTCAGTAATACTGTATCATCATTTTCTACCAGGTTTACTGCTGGTGCTTTTGTATTTGATATCATTTGTTCTTGTCTGCTACTAGACATCTGCAAGAAGTGATAAAATAAGCATATGTATGAAGATGAAGACTGTATAAAAAAAAAATCACAATCATATCAAACCTTCTTCTGATCAGTTGGGTCTCCTGATTTGAGTGCAAGTTGTTCTACTCTAGAAAGTTTTCTCTTTTTGGGTGGACGGCCAACTGAACGCACTTTCACTGGACTCAGAATAACTTTTGCTTTAGATCCTGATACTTCACAAGAATTTTCACCATTTTGAATTACAGTTGACAAATTGCAATCTTTTTCAATCCCTGAAAGCTCCTCATTGTCAGCCATAAATTCCTCTTTTGTCTCCTTCAACAGTTGCGCAAACCTGTGACATCTCTTATTAGTTTTCAATGCAAGTTGTTGTACTTCTTGTACCAATGGAGAGACAATCTTATACCGTCGCCTTTCTTCATCACAACCCGAATCATCGTAAATGTTCGTCATATTTTGATAGGCGCGCTTTTAATCTTTACGCCATCGATCCAAAATATACTTATCAGGAATCTCATTCACTTTGTTTCTGACAAGCACAGCTATCACATGTCTACACAAAATTCCCCGAAACTCAAACAAACGACACAAACACTTCACTTCACATCCTACCACTGTATATTGTACCAAAAATGGAAAATCTCTTGAACGGTTTCCATCTTTCCCAAAAATAGTTTCTACAACTTCAAATATCAATGTTGTTTCTTCTTGCTTAACAAATGAGGTATTACACCACATTAATCCCCTTAATTCATCTTGAAACAACTTAAATATAGAATTTGTATAGACATTTTGGAACTGTCTTTCAAATGGAAAACCAGATATCAATGGAAAGACGGAATTGAAAGCATAAAAATCAACATCTTTTTCTTTCTTGATCTTTTTCTTCAAACAATTATCAAACTGTTCCACAAACTGCCTCAATGTTGTTTTTGAGTTGATGTAGTCATCAAAAAAAGCATTCATACTTTCACTTCTTTGAGACGTAGACATTCCTGCCCAAAATTTATCTCTGACATACACAGGTATCCATCTAGTACGTTCTTCATACAATGTATTCAACCAAACATTTTCCTCCAAATTAAATTCCAGAATCATCTTTTTCGAACTTTCTTCACATTCATCAATAATAAGAGTGTTATAAACAATATTTTCAACTGCTTCTTAATCATCTTATATTGGGTATAACAACTTAATTTGGTCGGAATCTTTTTCATAATATGCCAAAGACAAATCGTATGATGAGAATTTGGAAATATCTTTTCAATTGCTATTCTCATGGCTGCATTCTGGTCTGTTATAATAGCATTTGGAGCACGTCCACCCATACAGTTCAACCATGTTTCAAACAACCACATGAATGTTGGAGAATCCTCACTTGAAAGCAATCCACATCCAAGTACGATAGAATGGCCATGATGATTTACTCCAACAAATGGAGCAAATGGCATGTCATATTGATTCGTCAGATAGGTAGTATCAAATGTGATGACGTCGGAAAAAGAGTCATATGCAGCTCTAGATCTTCCATCTGACCAAAAAATATTCTGTATGCGAGCTGTCTCTTTATCCAAATCAATCAAATGAAAAAAGTCTGAGTTTCGACTTTGCATACAACAAAAGTAATTACTCAAGGCTTCAGCATCTCCGACCCCCGGTCTTAAATTTCTGGCCTCTGTCACATAATTCCTGCACTTCCTCTCGTCAAATGGCAAATTCTCTTATCCACCATGTTCCACAGCAAACGATTGATAACTTTTGTTCAAAGGTATGCCAGCTTGATCATTTAACTCTAACCTTCTCTTTACAGAAGAATCCAACACCGTATTATATTTGAAGTAGCGTGACTTGCTAGGGCTCAAGATATGGTTGTGTTCAAGTTTCACGCAACTAATTCGCATAGTTCCATCAATTTCAACAACATCATTTATCTTAGCTTTGCAATCTGTTTTCGTTGAAGGACGGGGATGTAAAGAATTTCTTGCTTTGGAAACTGTCTTACGACTTTTATCACATCCAATTGAAAAATATTTTTGATTCCCATCATCTCCGTTTCTTCCTCCTAACTTCAAAATACCAAACCAACACTTCGAGCATATCTGTTATAAAAATCACGAACTTCTTCTTCAGATGAAAAGAACATTCCAATTTCAGGAACTTGTACGTCATTTAAATTTGATGATATGTCTTCACCTTGTTCCATATAGTGTTATTGTCCTGCTTAAAAATATAGAATAATTCTTGTCACGAAATTGACAAAACCTCAAAATTCATAGTTTCAAAATTGAACGAAACAATTCTTAACCTTGAATCACTTATTGGTTTATGTTCATGAATAATTTTAGGAACACTGTTACTAGGGGAAAAAACGCCCACCATGTGAAGCCCCTGACATTATCACCTCCACCACGTACACTACGCGCCCAGGCATCAATATAAAGGAGGCACATAATAAAATTATTATGATTCTATTCCTATCTTGAAAGGTCAAAATGTGACACCATTTGGCATTGGCTACATAAAATAAAAGGGCTTTAATTGTGTTGTCAAAATTGCAAGTTCTTCGTTAGTAGGTACTGGACTTAGTTCAATTGCTAGTCCACAAGGTAGGGCCTTCATGAACAATCTATTCCTGTCACTTTGCAATTGAGGATCTGCAATAATTAAATAGCATGTTATTTAAGCAATGAATCAGTTTTGATTAATCCTCCGTGAAAAGTTATAAAGACATATAAATGAGAATACCTTAGAAATTGACCTAAAATTGGTTGATCCCCTCTCAAACCGTAACACAAGTAATGTCCCGCCGCAGATCGATAACAGTAGCCAGAGATACGATTGCCCTTTGTATTTCAGGTGCTTGTCGATTGTAAGAACAAGAAGCAAAAATTATTGAAGTGGTAGTGTTGAAGTCCGATGATGAATTTGGCGATGGAGACAAAACCAAACGGAGTATTGACGATATGATGGAAAAAAAGAGGATGGAGAAATTCTTTTGACGCTAAATTCTGCTTTTAGTTTTTTAGGAAAATAAAGAAAAATGTAAATTTAGGAGGAGGTGATGTGGATATGCCAAGTAGGAGTGCCATGTCAGTAGAAATAAAAGTAGAGTTATAAAAATAGAGTGGAAAATCATTACTCAATTTAGAATGTACCTTATCATTCCCAACACATCTTCAAAGCCTTGAAAATCCTTGAATGAAACTTTTGTGAGACTCTGTGACAAACTTTTCGGAACCTGGTTAGGGTCCTTCCAACAACTCATGTGAGCATCCTTACCACATTGAAACTTTTTAATTTTTAGGACTTCCAATGTGACTGAATAGCCACGCATAGCACCAAGAGCACTCCATTGACAACACTCATATTCAGTATGCAATTTAGTTAACCTAGGAAACCACACCGACAACGGGGTACTGGCGTTACTGAGGCCCTCAAAGATTGTTCCTTTTAACTTCAGAAGGACCGCATGATTCAAAGCTTCAATTAGCCTTGCAATGGAATTGCATCGCTCAATATAGTGTCCATTGACATTGAGATTAGCATTAAGATCAAGCTTCACTTCTTCCACAAACAACAGCTTCTTCAAAGAGAATTCCTTCCACTCATGATCATCGCAACATAGGAAATCAAGGGCAGGTGCATCTATCTCCAGTTTTCCATCTACCTCCGGGGGTTCTCCTTCATTGGCATTGTAAAATTCTAGACTTGTCAAAGAAAGCTAGTGAATTCTAAAGACTCGCACGTTATCATAGTTCTCCCTAATGATTTTGAGATAATCAAGCACCGGACAACTAGATATAAGCTTATAAACAGATTGATCGGATTCATACCTGATATACAATTCTTCTAGTTTGGGAAGACGAACCACAGAAGGTGCACTAACCCAAAAAGGACCATTCGATGCAAGAGATTCTAATGTCCTACAAGTGTAGAGGGAAACAGGAATGCGAGCTTGACAATGTTCCTCAATTTTGAGATCAATAATCCGAACATTCCTCGAAATCGCAAAACCTGTCCATATGTTAATGTAACCTCCTTGGCATCCACCCATCCATTCCAACCTAAACTTCTCCAAGCAACCAGAATCAAGGCCGAATAAAACTTTGTTCACAAACTCAACAAATTTTAACTTGCTGTTTTTCGAGCAAATGCCCTCATCCGGATTCAACAAAATCTAGAGCGGTTACTTTAGTCCAGAGAGACTTCCACCTTCTAGATAAAACGCTGGACGCCACAACACGCTTTGTAGGGAGAAAAGAAAGAATATGGCAAATTAGTGATTCGGGTAAATTGCTGATCCTATCAACCGTAATCGTATCCCGGCTGATACCTTTGAGCTTTTTAATTGTGGTCGCCATATATATTTAAACTTTCAGAATGGGATCATGAGTCACAAAAATCCTTTCAATCTTCTAGCATCCCTAAGGACCCGAAACACTCTGCTACGGAATAAGAAAGAAATAAAACAGTGGCATATGACTCAGTTAATTCCCAGTTTCCACACAAACTCTTAGTACTACATTAATAAGTTTTCCCAATTTTTATCACACTTCATTTGTCCCGAGATGCTGATTTTGCTGGTAAGAGAAGAGACTGCAGGAGACGACGGCGGTTTCGAAGCAACAAGGAAAAAAGGATTTGTAAATTTGCTAGGGTTTTGAGAACTTTCTCTATTCTAGGGACTAAAAAACAGATTGAATCGAGTTTATGTAAACCAAAAAAAAAAGATTTGTCGAGGCTCTACATTCAATGTCGGTAAAAGTAAGATCTTCGGCTTTGAAGATACACATCAAAGGTTGTTTTTGTGCTGCTCCTCACGTTCGTGTGCTCTAATCGGTGCTTCCAATGCCGATCCTGCGGATTGGACTAAACTTGCTGACGAAATTTTGGATACAATCCTGAGTAAATTAGTCGATTTTTTTTTTATTACATTCCATTTGGAACAGGTTGCAAATCCTTCCAATCCATAGCTACGAATCAGATACAAGAAAGAAAAGCAACAATACCTACACAACCTCCATTCTTGGTTTTGGTGAAGTCCAAGAACCCGCGAGAATCTCCGTCCAAAACTAAACGCTGCAAACTATACAACATCAAGGAAAATAAAGTATTCAATCATGAAATAAAAAGTTCGCCACTCATGTGAGTCTTGTCGCTTCTTCTCCTCTCGTGGTTGGTTAATCAATACATGCTACTATCGCCCTGATTTACTTGGGCTTTTAAATCCCTTCACTTAGAAGAGCATCGAAATCCCTTGGAATAATGTTGTACAACGTGCTAATGTTAACACGGTTATTTTGTCTTGCGATCCCACCATAAGTTCGAATGATCTTGTCGTAGCTATTTTGTATGAATTTGGCTTATCCTTGAAGATAGCGGACCAACCATCTTGGACATTTATATTTCATAATGATTGATGTATGCCGTGGAGTGGTATGCCCGGCTTGTTACTTTTTTATTACAAAAGTTGTAATGGTAAACTTGTTCGCAGTCTTATTGTGCCAGAAGATAACACCAATACAAGGCTTCCTTTATCTTCTTTGGTTGAAGCTTCTAATGGTGAATTGTTATTTGTAGACAGGTCTTTTGACCAATGGAAATTCAGAATTCGTAAGCTGGTGAAAACAAGTTGGGTGGAAGTTTCTAAGCTGGAAAACAACGGTTCCATATTTTTTAACTGAAAATCGGCAATTTGGCACATCGGTGTCTTGTATTCCCAACTGCAAAGACCCTAATCGCATATATTTTACTCAGGATTTTAGCAATCATACCTCCTTATGTAAGGTTATAAATACGAAGGAAATTTGGGGTGTTTGACATAAATGATGGGACACTTACCACACTCCCAAGGTAGCACAACAAGAATTAACCGTTTCCTCTGATTTGGATCGTTGCCTAAGATTTCGATCAAAATTCTAAGGCTGATGATATTATTAGCGCAAAAGTTAGCCTCCAGAGCAATTGTTGACTGAATTGACTAAGATTCCCTTGTTTAGACAAAGTGTGTAATTTTACCTCATCATTCATTCCTCCTTCCTCAGTCCTCTTTACATCTTTAATCGCCTCCTGCTCCCTTTCTTCAGAGTCAAAGTGAAGTCTTATTCCCCACCGTCAGATCCCTTGCAAAACAATTTTACTTCAGTATGCAAATAAGTTTTAAATTATTAGTAATCATTCATCATTACGATATTGTTCCTTTGGGGACATCCGATCACCACATATCATTCATCAATTACCTTCCTTTTTCACAATCTAATTTCGAAAGCCTAAAAGTCAGTCTTTTGATTTTTATAATAGAAATTTGGGAAAAATCGAATATCAACCCACCTATCACTAAAGTATAGGAAAAATTTTGGATTGCGGGGAGGAAGTCCTAAAAAATTGGATTTAATTCAAGAAAATTTTTTTTGCCTCCCAATCAGTTATCAACTCATACCCTTTACCCACACTCATGTCATCGATCAAGATTTAATGTTACCTGAAATTCATTAAAAAGAAAACTCACATACACACAAACTTTTGATAATCATCTACAAATTTTTGGACTTTGAGATAACCTCCAATTTAATTGTGTATGTTGGGCTAGAGGAGCACATGATTTGGAAATTATTTGTTGGAGTGAAAAATGGGAAGATAAGAGGTTTGATGCATTTGGTTTTTACAATCTATGCAGTTTCAACTGGATGAAATCATGAAGACATGAACGGGAATCTATCTAGGAAGGAGAGAGGAACCTGGAGAGGTAGAGCGGAGAAAAATAAGACTTTGACTAAATAAGGGTATCTTGGTCAAATGAGTTAAAAATTGCTCTGGAGGCTATTTTTTGTAGTGACAATATCATAAGCCAAATTCTAATTACCTTAAGTTTTTTTTTTTTGTCCCAATCAATCAGCTTGAAATCAAAACACATAAAACTTACGTACATTAAATATTTACAATGTGGCTGAGTTCCCACTTAATTTCCACACAAACTCTTCGTACTTTAATCAATTTATGCAATTTTTATCATATGTATATATATATATATGAACACTGTGTATCATGTATTATGATCCAAAATACAGTGTATTATTTGATATATTGATATCTGACAATATGAACTGATGAAATATTTGGATTTAATAAAACCATTTTAATCTAGTCCAGTATTAACACAAAACATAAAAATATTATCAATGACGATTGATTCTTCCGTCTCTGTTCACAATGGACAAGCTCATACTCGGGCAAAACATTTCGTAACATCAAAAAGTGAGAAATTTTGCCCTCAAAAAATTGAGAAAGTTATTATTCACAAGTTTTTTTTATTATTATTATTGAAATTCAAAATTAGGTTTTCAAATTTAGACTAATAAAGGAAGGTGAAAATATAAAAAATCGTTGATGTAGAACAGTAGGAATTTCATTATCTTTTGCCTGAATATAAAAAAAGGCTACCATAAAATTTGAAATAAAACGTGACGGTGGTCATTTTGGGACCTTCGCGAAACGGAAGGGAGCAGCACAATATGGAAATTACCGAAAATTAATCGCATAAAAGTTTCCAAAACAGATTGTCAAAACTGAAAAGGATTTTTTTTATTTTTAAGTGTAAATAGGTCACAGGTTTCCTTTTGGCAATTTCCTTGTGTGAAGGTCTTTCTCGCGCGCGTTTTGAATGGTATTTGGAAACTTTTCGATCAATTAAATTCACATCTTTCCCGTTGCAATTTGTATTTGACTCACCCCTCTACAAATAGTGGCTTCTACTTGGCCATATAGATCAATTGTTGTTGTCAATTTCGAAGAATTTTTTAGGATTCAAATCAAACCCAATTTCAACGGGAACTATAATCAAAATGAGAAGCTGATAAATTGACAAAAGAAACAGCAGAAAGCAACGCCTATGGCTACAGCCATGGCTTCTGTAACTCTTCCGTCGCGTCAAGTTTTCTCTGTCCTTTTATGGATCCTCTGCGGTTCAACGGTATTAAACATGGCTACTTCCTCATATGAGTTGATAGTATCACAAAATACTACTTTGGAACTGAAACCCAGTTTAATAGTCGAAAAATCGCCCGGTTCGAAGCCAGGAACTAAGGTTCTTTGCGAAAGGATTAGAATTAAAGGGTTGCTGAGGCTGAAGAATTTGAACAAGTTTCCTAATACTGTTCGGATCAAGATTGCGCATTCGGGCTCTTCAGAATGGGTTGGCTACCGGCGGCATTGCAAGTTTGTTTCCACGATAATTCGGCAATGGGGATAGGGATGTGGCCCTGACAACCAATAGCAGAGTCTAAACAGCGGAGTTCGGAGGAGTTCAATGTCACCTTTTTTTTATCACAAATTGGTAGATATAAGGATAGTGGGTTCTTCTGCTCAACTTGTTGAGATTTCCCTTCATGAAGAAGTTTTCTTGTCCCGTGCCATTTTCTTGGTTTTTGGAATCGCAATGCTGACTTTGGCTAGATTCCTGAGCAATTCCTTGGTGTTTTATTACACTGCTGCAATGGTTTTGGGTGTTCTTCTCGTGATTCTACTAATGGTCCTCTACCAGGGAATGAAATTACTTCAAACTGGTTGGAAGAGCTTTATTGGAATTCCAATGTATGCATTTGGTGTTGGTTTTGGAGCAATTATATTGAAAGACTTGCTAAGATTGTTGCAAACTGTTCTTAATGAGATCGGTATCAGTGAAGACATGTACAATCCTCAGGGGCTTTTCGTATTGATTTTTGTTATGATCCCTGGCGCTGGGTTTGGGTTTTGGGTTGCTCGAAAAGTTGTCCTTGCAAAAGATGGAAGCGTCGATGCTGGAGAGTCAAAATTTGTCGCATGGTCAATTCGAATATATAGCTTCAATGATAACTCTGTAGAGCTCCAGCGACCCTGTTGTTGCAGCAGCGGCGTTGATTTTCGCGATTTTTATCTCATCAATTTTGAAGAGACTTGGAAATCTTAAGTTCATAAGAAGATTGTGCAAATTGAGAAAGGGAAATGGAATGGAAAATCTGAAAAAAAAAACCCAATCCTAAACATCTGACGAGTCATAGATTAAACCCTAACCCTAATGGGTTTGGGTCCGCAATCTTGGAAGTTAAGTCACCGACTAAATCTAATTCGACTAGGTTTAGGGAAACAGGTGGTGCCTTCCTCATAATTGATATCTGATACACGTATCTTTTACCTCTCTCCCTATTCTTTCTATCCCTTTATTGACTTAAGCATCAGAGAGTCTACCCTCGGGAGACACCCGAGGCTCTGTCTTGCAGGTTTTAGGCCGTCCGCCGCCGCCTAGATCATCATCGCCGCCCATCCTAAGGCACTGTACAAATCCAAGCTTCGTCAAGTGGCACGCTCAGTGGGACCGATTTGTTTGGTCTTCACAACCAAATTAATTTCTTGAAGCGAAGTTGAAATTTTTTGGTGCTTTACGCTGCGCAACGTTATCAGCATCATGGCGCAAGAAAAACAACAAACACCTGCTACTGCAGCTGAAAAAGATAAACAGGCGACTCCAACGGGACTATCCCCTAACAGGCCGTCTAGTGGTTTGCTGGATCAAAACCTCATGGAGGCTCTTTTCAAATCTCAACCTACCCTGTTCAACAAGTTCCAAGAATTTGTGAAGAGTTTTCATGAACTCGACAGTAACCAGCGACAGCTCGTGGTTGACAATCTGGGTACCTTCTCGAGAGAGGGCTAGCCAAACCCTAGGGACATCTCTCGAGGACATCAACTTGTAACTCGAGAAGAAACTCGTCCCCCTCGAGTGAACGTACCTCCACCTCGGGTACCTTCAACCATCGAGGAGCAATTACGTAAGGTTCTCGGATCTGAAGGAGATGAGGAGGGAGACGATAGTCCATTCATCCAATGTATCCGAGAAACGTCCATGCCCGAGAAGTTCGAACTTCCAGATTTGAAGTTTTATGGAGGAGATACCGACCCCATGGTGTTCTTGCAAGTCTAAGAGTGTTACAAGGTTGAGGAATGCCTCCAATGATTTCATGTGCAAGGCGTTCCCAACCTATCTCACGGGTCAAGCACAACTCTGGTTCGGAACCTTGTCTCCGGGAAGTATACGGATGTTTCATGAGCTGGGAACTTTGTTTCACACAAGGTTCTTCCAAGGAAAGAAGATTCGTAAGACGATTACCGAGCTAATGTCCCTCAAGCAAGATCAAGAAGAATCTATTGGGGCTTACTATAGCTGCTTCACCAAAGAACAACTTCAAGTCGAAGGAATATCTGAAGAGACGATTGTTGCAACCTTCACTAATGATCTTTATCCATATGGGGCATCTGCTACTTTGCGACAAAAGCTGACAAAAGAGCCACCACAAACGTTGCAACAACTCTTCTCGTTGGTCGAAACTGAAGTTCGCGCAGAAGAAGATTTACGTCGAGCACGAGAAAGCTTATACCCTTATGAGAAGAGGTCGCTCGAGTACAAAGCTAACGGGTTTGGGCCGGCTATCTTGGAAGTTAAATCACCGACTAAACCTAATTCGACTAGGTTTAGGAAAACAGGTAACACCACCTCTATATAAAGAGGTGGTGCCTCCCTCATAATTGATATCTGATACACGTATCTTCTACCTCTCTCCCTATTCTTTCTATCCCTTTATTGACTTAAGCATCGGAGAGTCTACCCACAACACCCGAGGCTCTGTCTTGCAGGTTTTAGGCCGTCCGCCGCCGCCTAGATCATCATCGCCGCCCATCCTAAGGCACGGTACAAATCCAAGCTTCGTCAACATCAGCGATAAGCTCCTGAACAATTCTACTCTTCCTTCTTGGTAGTTCCAGGAAGAAGAAATATGTCACAGGAAAAGTGGAATGAAATCACCACAAAGTACACAGAGGCAGTTTTGGAGCGCCTTATTTCTTCGCCAGAGTTTGATAAACGATTTGCTGCTCAAGCTCAAGCTGATAAACATTATTTCCCAATACGGAAGAAGCTCAAGTTGAGGTACCTGCAATGATGGTCCCAAGAAGGAAGAATTAGGTCAAGTTCAGGTACCGGTTTAGGCAGTTTCCACTAGTTCTGAAGTTTTTTTTTTTTTTTTGAAGAGGAAATTAAAAAGAGTATGTTTTTGTAAAGTTTAGGGCTACAAACATCTTTGCCTTCGAATTTAATGTATGTGATGTATCACCTAATTGAATGTACCGTAATTTTGTGAACAAAGAACTGTGGACTTACTTTAAAAAAAAAATACTACATGTTTCTCACCGTTGCCAAGAATGTACACCATGTTGTATGAGAATCGACTAATTAGTTATTTTGTGCATATTCATCAGTGCTCACTCTTTACATTTGTAGTACGTTATTATATATCATCCTCCAGACCAAGCATTGAGCACAGCAGAATGGTTGTTACTATTGATTTTCTCATTCCCAATTACATCTAAAATTATGGTTCCTTTATCGAGACAATTAATTACCTATAATTGAAATATTACTTTGAGAGCTGGTGATGCCAAATCTTTCAAGTACATAACTGTAACATTTGTGATACTGTTCGCACGGAAGAATCCAATTACCCAGAATCCAATGTCTTCTCTAGTACACTAAATTATAAGTTCTATGGAGCAAACCACCCTTACTAAAATCTGTTTACTTGTTTGTTGCACGATTTTAGTTCAACAAAATGTACTATTAAAATGAAACAGATAAAGTATTAATCTTTAGAATTTTCAGCATTTTTTTAGTTCACTATCCAAACATTCAATTTCTGTACAAGTATCCCTTGTTTGATGGTATTCCTCTTGCTTTGAAACAGAATCTTTCAGGCTAAAACAGAGGTCTGACATGCTCACTGGTGGATCTAGGGTAGGGTCAGTGGCCACGGGGGCCATGGCCCCCACTAGCCCCACCCTAGACCTTGTATATATAGTATATTTTTTTTTACCATAGACCTTATATATATATATATTTTTTTTAATCTTAGAGTGATTTTGAACTTGGAATGTATCTTTTATTGAATTGTTTTTCTTGATCCAAAAAAAAAAGCTCCTAATTAAAGTAGAATTCTTTTTTTTTTCTTTGTTCAGGAATCATGTTTATTTATTTTTTATTTTTAAAAAAAAACTACTCACCTTTTGCACCATCACACAGCAAGGTCGTACTTCATTTTTTTCCCCTTTTCCTCTAAAAATAACTACCGAAAAGGATCACACCATCAAGCAAGGTAGTGTTTTGTTTTCAATTAAGGTTAATTTACTCATTACATTTTCTAATTGATCAACTATTTTTCTAATGTTTATTGTTTAGTTAGGTTTAATGATTCTTATTCAAAAAATTAAATTTGTATTCATCTTGTTGTTGTGAAATTGTTTATTTACTCCATTGTTTGTTGTTAGTATCTCATGCAATATATCTCTGTCATACTTCTTCAATCTGAAAATAATGGCCAGGTTTAATTATCGTAACAAATAAGCAAGTCATTTAGCTGCCAAGACGCGAAAAATAAGTTCAAATCAAGGTGCTGGCAGCTGAGGTGGTCTTGCCAGAGGAAGTTCAAGTCCAGCCACCGGGGAAGTGTGGCTCCAGTTGTCCTAATGTTCAGAGGTTTCAAAGGTTGGTTTGTTTTTTCCCCTCCCTTTCTTCTTCCTTTCTTGAGGTAGAGGGATTTTCAGTAGTTACATGACTTACAAAAAATGGAGATATAATTCATTTAAGAAAAAAGAAAAACTTTACATTAACCTTGGGAATTTACACTATCTCTTGTGGAAGGAGACATGAGATCTGATAGTGTCAATTGCCCATCTAATAACTTGTTACATTAACCTTGAGAATTTATTCACAATCTTTATATTTAATATATTAAACCGTCAAAACTGTTGAGGTTGTTTGGTATTTTCTCATCTCTCAATGAAGCGTATATACTACTATCTCTGGAGTGTGTGTGCGTTCATCATGCAAAAAACAAGTTCTTGACTCGAAATGGCCTCCTAAGCAACGCTAGGAGGTCGCTTTGTCAATTATGCATTGTTAACTGTCATTAACAAACAAAAGTAATTTTCTAACCATCATAGGAAAATAAAAAAATACCCTCTTAGTCCCAAAAAAAAAGTTCATATTGATTTTTTAAGTTTGTACGGTTTTACTATAATTCTCAAAACTCTATATGGATTATTTTTCTTTGACCGTGGAATTAATAAAATGAGTAATGATATTCATTTCACTTAATTTATCTCACCATTCCATCTCGCCTTACATGGCATCTATTGATTCGGCAATATATTTCTTACTTTGCATCTATAGTAAATTAATCTAAATATTATTATATTTCTCATTAATATTAGTCCTAGTGATAATATTTTGTATTATGATAACTTTACCCAAAACGGTTTATTTTTTTCAAGGTTAGTTTCCATTTATTTTAAATTTTAAGATATAAAATTTTCAAAAAGTATATAAACCTAACCGAAAAATAATTAAATTAGCTTATTAGATTTTATTTAATAATTAATTTAACTTATTAAATTTCATCCAATAACTAAATGCCATGAAGAGTAAGATGAAAAGGTGAGATAAATTAGGTGGAATGTGTATCATCACTCTAATAAAATATGTTACCAATTTTAGGACAAATCCTATTTCCTTTTGGTATAATCCCATATTATATATGAAAGGATTTATTTTTAAGCGACAGTAAAATAGTAATTATTATTTTGCATAAATTATCAATCTTAAAAGTTACAAAAAATTTTTTACTTTTTTATTTTTACCAATTGTGTTATCCATTGACCTAACAAAATAAACAGCCGACATGAAATTTCCTGACCCCTTTCAACGGAATCCTTTTGCCATTCTGATTCCGGTAAGATCTCCAGATTTACATGGCGGTCAATTCTTCCGTCGCAGTTCACAATTCAAGCAATGTCCAATGCGTCCGTCGAATTCATCCCTCCTGATTAACCAATTGGGAAGATCTACGCCTGGCGGATGTATAAAATTTGCCGCCGCACCAAGGCGGAAGATGTACGCGTCACGCATGTATGCCGCCACCCCCGATACGCTTTGAATTCATCCCTCCTGATTAACCAACCGGGAAGATGTACGACTGATTTGGGTGTCTGCTGATAGGTACATTTTAAGAGTATTTTTGGCTAATTATGGGGTATTATATGTAGTTTGATCGTGTGAATATTTTGGATGATAACTGAAAGAAAAGATGGACTATGACAGGAATAGTGATGATTAAGGGTAGAATGACATGAAATTCATCTTAGAGGTATATTCCCTTCGTGTTTCGTATCATTCTTTCTTTTAAATTGCTAGAACCTGATAGCGAGTTTAGCATTCGGTCACGTGATTAAATGATGGAAGATAGGAGAGGAACGTTCTTTGGCAGCCACGGACACCAATTAGCACGTAGTCATGTGATCCTGTTCAAAGAAGCCTTGTGTTTTTTATGACTCATGTGAGATAGCATGTGATCACTCTAGTTGGGAGTAAAAAAATCCGTTTCTAGGAGAGAGATTGGAAGATTTAGAACGCGTTTTTGACCGAGAATCTCAAATTTATTCCAAGATTTTATTATTTCAAGATTTTAGAAAAATAAATATTTGATATTCTATTATTTGGTTGTTAAGGAGTTTAGATATTATGTTGATTTTATTTTTTTCTTTTACCAAGATAAAAGAAGACTTTTTACTAGATAAAAACACTTCTATAAATTCCTCTGCAGAGAAACGTAGGTAGGCATCCACTCTTCAGTTTAGACTTCATTTCTCTTTTCTCCTTTGTTCTTCATTTCTTTATTCTAATTTATAAACAAGTACATCACTAATAATTGTTTAATGATTGATTATACTACGAGAATATTAAAAGTGAAAGGAATCTTGGACCTATCACCGAGTGAGGGAGTTAATGCTCAATTCCTTGAAAGAAAATACTAGAAAAGCAAAAGAAAAGAAAGGGGATTTTGGAATCAATTTTGATGAACAATTCAATGATATTCAAGAAATTACTCCTTCTACACCTGATGGGAAAGTAATAGCAAGCATTGAGGGGCTGAAAAATACAAAAAGAAAGAACAACCATGGTAGTATTGAGCCCTACTTGTCAGGTAAAGGTATTGATTTATCTCAGCCAAGTATCAAGTCTTGTATGCAAAGTAAGGAAAAAATTTTGCAAACTGATATGGTTGTAGCTATGTGGTTTTATGAAGCATGTATCCCTTAATGCTGTTAATTCACCTTATTTTCGGCAAGAAGTAGCAAGCATAGCAAGTATGGGTCATGGTTACACGGGTCCTAGTTACCATGCACTCAGGGTGAATTTGTTAAATGATGCTAAAAAGCAAGTTCAATTACTTGTTGATAGTTTCCGAAATCAGTGGGCAATGACTGGATGTACACTTATGGGTGATGGATGGAAAGATAAAACACAAAGATGCTTGATCAATTTTCTTGTTTATTGTCCTACGGCCATTGTGTTTATTAAATCTATGGATGCGTCAAATGTGGAGTCTAATGTTGAGACATTATGTAACTTGTTTGCTGAAATTGTTGAATTAGTTAGGGTTGATAATGTTGTTCATCTAGTTACTGACAATGCTAGTAACTATAAGGCTACTGGAAAGTTACTCTCAGATAAGTATCCATCGATAAGTTGGTCTCCTTGTGCAGCACATTGTCTCAATTTAGCTCTTAAGGATATTGGGGAGTTGCCAAAAATTAGCAACACAATCATTCTTGCCTCTAGGGTCACTAAATATGTGTATAATCGTAAGTGGATACTTGGCTAGTTGAGGTAAAGATTCGGTTGGAAGGAGATTCTTCGTCCGGCTGAAACTAGATTTGGCACCACATTTATAGCGCTCAAAAGCCTTTATGATCAAAGAGAACATTTGGAGGCTTTAGTAATTCATCCGAAATTCAAAAAGGAAAAAAAATAAGAAAGCCCTGGATGTGAAGGACATTGTTCTCAGTGATGACTTTTGAATATCTTGTTTGATAAATGTAAAAATCATCT